GAGATGCTCTCAAGGAGTAATTGCAGAGAGAGAAGCATAGAGATTAATTACCTTCATCAGAGGTGGTTGGGGGGTATTTATAGCCCCAAGTGCTGGTATGCATCTGTACATGTAAGCATCCCATTGGCCCACGCGGTGGTGCTCACGTGGGTATGTCACCTCCTCTTGGGCCTATGTGTATATAGTTGGGCCTGCTATATATGGCCCGAAGCGGGCGTTGGGCCTAATCCCAACAGTACTCCCCCCCCCCGGCGTTCGGTTGACGAACTGGGTTGGAGGTGTCCGTGGGCCAACGCCCTAGCTAGTGACTATGATGGATGGCCTTAACAGCTCGCAGCCGACCTGGATGATGGCCAATCTGAAGGGTGGTACGAAAAGAGGCGAGCTCGCGAGTCGGAAAGTGTGTAGGCGAGCTGAAGATTTGAAATGGCTAAGAACAGATGAGCTCGCCCGGTGAATAGTCATGTGCACCGGGTGCTATTCGCTATTTCAGTGAATAGTGACGGATGATGTTGCCGATAAATCAAAGTGACGAGCTGAGATGATGCGACCTCACCCACAGCACGATCTGAGGTTAAATGGAGCGGCCTCAGATGTCCATTGATCTGTGAAAAGAGTTGTGATCTGCAACGAGCTATCACCCTGGTGACGACCTGATAAAAGTGGTTGTCGTAACGAGCTGAAATGGACGGGCAAAGGGATAGACCAACCTGTGACGCACTGAACCATGGGGATAATTGTGAACAAATTGTCACGCATATCAACCGTTACGATCTGAAACTTCGAATTTTTCAAATCAAGCAAATCTCTGGAGATATACGATTGATCTTCCCATATCTCTCTGCCTTCCCCGTCATAAATACTGGCTCAGTATTTAAGGGGACACGACAGCTAAAACCGGCGCACGCTGTACGAGAGGGGCTTATGCGCCTGCCACGCGTGAGACGCTAACTGACGCGTCAGAAACACGCGTACGGCAATTAACATAGCAATTACAGGTTTATGCTTTACGTAACCGTTCACTTTTTCATTTTCCTGTTGCTTGAAATCTTCTGAGACTCTCTGTAGCGAAGCACTCCGGCTTGAAAAACAGAGCACCGAACCACACTCTACAAGTTCGCATCGCTTTCAGGTAAAATGGTGTCCTTGAGAGAACTTACAGAGGCACGAGGTAACCAGGGCCGAGAAGAAGGAGGGGAGGGGGTTATATCTGTGGAGCCTATCACTATGATAGTTCCACCGGAGTTGCAGGATGTGCCGGAAACCACAACACCAGACAGCGGCGCCAGTTCGAGCGCTAGGGATAACAGTGGTGAACACCCCACTGCGTCGTCTAGCAGCTCGTCCACTGAAGAGACACCCAGCCGTGAGGAAGGGATGGGGGATGTGGTGTGCAGTGTCTCAGATCGGCTGGCGATTGGGGAGTGGGAAGGCAGGACAATCGCGGGCAGGTTGAGTAACCTACGAAAAGCACCGAAGGACCTGCCCGCTGGATTTAGGTTCGAGGCTGCACTTCATCACGAAGTAGCAGATTGTGCGCCCTCCATAAGTGGGTATAAGAAACTCGAGGAGATGGTGAGGGCGTACCACATCCCCAGAACTATATTGCTCCGGACTGGCGGGCAGAATGAAAGGGCGTGCACAGTGTCACAAACGGGCTGGATACTAGTGTACGTGGACCACCGTGATGCCGGCCTACGGTTTCCCTTGCCCGGACTGATATTCGATCTGCTTGCGGATTACGAGCTGGCGTTGGCGCAGCTGACGCCCAACAGCATAAGGTTCATCATAGGCTTTATGCTGTTGTGCGCGAAATTGGAGGTACCAGCTAAAGTGATAGTATTCAGGTCGCTGTTCCAGTGCCGGCTGTGCCCGAACTCCAGGGGTGCCAAGTGGTACTACCTCTCTGGGAGGGAGAAGAGCCAGCTCTTCAAAAACGTGAGGAACAAGGTGGCGAGGTGGAAAAGGCAGTTTATTTTCGTTCGTGACACGCAAGCAGAAAGGATAAGCTACGACCTCACTGCCTGGCTATCAGAATGGCGCACGCAGAACGCCCATGTCAACTACCCCCAGCTGCTGCCCCGGGACGTAGATCTGAAAAATCAGCTGCTTGAGTATGCGAAGAGGGAGAACCTAATAGATCTAGAAGCCCTGGTTACCTCGGAGCAGCTCGCCTTGTTCGGGTTTGTCGACGTGACAAACCTGTTCAGCGAAGGTATATTTTTATTATATAGTATTAATTCTAGCCGGGCTGAGGCTTATGCGTTTTTTTGTGCAGGAGAAATGAGCAGCATACTAGAGCGTCAACGTCAGCGAGCCCAGGGCTCACGAGGTCCAGGAGCGGCAGCACCTCGCAGAGACAGACGCGGTTTGACGAGCGACCGCCTCCAGGGCCTCAATCTCGGAGCTCGTCACACCGAGGATCCAGCTCGGCGTCTAGGCCTCGGGCTGAACACAGAGCTGAGGCTGCAGCCTCCAGTGCACGCAGGCGTGCACGTGAGGAGATGGACAGCGAAGATGAGGTCCCCCTCTTGAGGCGCAGGATGACTGGGGGGACTGAGCCCGCACAGGCGTCTCAAACGGCGGCTGCACGCTCATCAAGCGCACCATCTGCCACAGTGCGAGCAGCGGATCCAGCGTCCGCCTCGACCTCAACGTCATGCCCCAGGATCGCATATCCTGATGGCTTCAGTTACGTGAGGGCGGAGTGCCAGCCCGCCATGGTGCAAGGCATGCACAGCTTTGTGCGTCCCGCGGATCGTCAGTGGGCAAAAGCTTTCGTGCAGCAGCATGGCAGCCAGGTCGCCATGATCAAACTGATGGATGTAAGTATTTGCTTGTACTTGCTTAAGTGTCTTACTTTTCCTTGTTAGGTACTTACAATTGTTGCTGTTTGGCAGGCATTCAGCTACGCTGTAGCTTTGTACGAGAGCGAGCAGGGGGCTCGTACACAGAATAGCGAGCTCAGTTCCAAATGTAAACAGTTGACTGCTGAGAAGGCCAGCCTTGTGGACGATGTGAATCGTCTACAAGGCTCTGAAATGGCGAACCGAGCCGCGGCTGCAGAGAGCCGGGCGAATGAGCTCGCTAATAGAAATAACGAGCTCGAAGAGGAGCTAGAGCAAGCCCGCGCCGAAAAAGAGAGCGGGATCCAGGCGGCAAAGGAGGAGGCCGTCCGTGTTGAGGAACGGGCGAAGAAAGCCGAAGCTGAAAGGGACCGCACTCTGTATGAGCTGAATTCCTTCAAGAGTCAGGTCGCTGAAGTTGCCCGGAACCTTAACGCAGCTGAAGAGGCCTTGAATGAGCTGAAGGCCACTCACAGGCGCTCTATCAGCATGGCCCGCGCTCAAGGTGCAAAATGGCTGGTGGGTTCGGCCGCGTTCCAAGACGCAATGGCGGTGGCGTCTGCAAACGTAACCACGGAGATCTACAACGAGATTCGTGGGAAGGTGCTGCACCACCGCCCAGATTTTCCCATCCGCGAGCTGGTGTTTTTTGACGAGGAGGAGCTTGACGAACAGGGTAAGAGCCTTGCTCCCCTCGCTGACACAACTGTGAGGTTGAGATGGGATTTAAACGAGGAGGGCGTGCCCATCTGGCCACCATCGTGCTAGAGGACGGGGAGGATCCAACGGGTCTGCCCTCGTTTGATGCGTGGGTCGAAGGTGTTCCTGTTGCTGAGCAGGAGCCATCAAGCACGCCACCCAACTCTCAGCCCGCTGAGGTGCCAGCTAGCGCGCCCATCAATGCACCAGTTCTTGAGCCCGCAGCCCGGTCTCCTCCAGCTCGCTCTCCTATAGCCGCTGCCGCTGATGCATCCATGCCCGTCGATCTGACGGATGACTAGACTTAGGGTTTTTTTCGACTTTTTGTATTTTCTTTTGATTACTTGTATTGATCAATGACATTATACGTCATGTTCTTCAATTGTAAATGATCATTGATGAAATACAAATTAAATTTCCTTCTTTGAACTTTCTGTGGATTGATTTTTCTATGAAATGCCATTTACAACTGATCCATGACGACCTGAACGCTAATAACATACACATTAACTGTAAAGCTAACTATAAAACTTTCTAAGATTATGTATGTTCCAAATGAATAGTAATGGACGACCTTGTAAATCTGCCAACCGGTAAGACCCAGGTCGTTGAATAGAAATAACCATATAAGGTCCCTCCCAATTAGGCGCGAGCTTGCCCATGTGCGAGTAAGCATTGGTCAATCCAGCTTTGCGTAGAACCAGATCGCCGACTTGAAACTGGCGAGCTCGAACCCTTTTATTGTAAAATTTTGCTACACGACTTTGATGCGCCATGTTTCTTATTCTAGACATCTCCCTGACCTCTTCTACGAAGTCTAGGTTCTCTCTCAAAAGTTGCTCATTGTTGAGATCATCATGCCAGCCTGCTCGATCAGATGGCAATCCAACCTCTACTGGGATGACGGCTTCAGCTCCATAGGCCAGGCTAAAAGGGGTTTCGCCCGTGGCCGAGCTGGGTGTGGTGCGACAAGACCAAAGCACTTTATTGAGCTCGTCAACCCAATTAGAATGCGCAACCAAAACACGTGTCTTGAGGCCTCGCAAGACGATTTTATTGGCGGACTCGGCTTGTCCATTGGACTGTGGAGTATATACGGACGTCAAGGCGAGCTCAATGCCATAGTCGTTACAAAACGATCTCAGTGCTGCTGCTCGGAACTGTGGCCCATTGTCGGCGATAATCCGCTTAGGTATGCCGAACCTGCACACAGATGAGCGAGCTGAGCTACAAATCACGTTTGCATATATTTTATTTATGACCTAAGTCACCAAAGAATACCTGCACAATATTGAATTGAACAAGAATTCTTCTATTTTCCTTTCTGTTGCATGGACAGTGGTTTAGCTTCTATCCACTTAGTGAAGTAATCCACTGCAACGACCAGGAAAGTGCAGCCTCCTTTGCCTTTGATGAAAGGACCGAGTAGGTCGACACCCCATTGAGCAAAGGGCCAGGGAGACGTGAGAGATGATAGCATTTCCCCTGTTTCAAGGAAGATACTTATGCTTAGTTTATAGACAAACACGGAGTTTGCATGTTCTTTAGAACAGGCTCAGATACCTGGCATGTGTATATCATCAACATTGAACTGGCAGGTCGGACATTTTCTGACATAGCTCTGCGCGTCCTCGACCATAGTGGGCCAGTAATAACCATGCCTCAGGAGTTTTCGAGCTAAAGTTTTGCCACCAATGTGCGTGCCACATACTCTTTCGTGAACTTCTCTCACAGCGTATTCAGCTTCATAAGGAGTAAGGCAGCGTAATAGGGGCATTGAGGCTGCTCGTTTGTAGAGCTGGTTATCTAACAAAGTGAAATGTGCTGCCCTTCGTTTAATCAATTTCACAGCGGACAGATCTTAAGGTAGCTCGCCACTTTGCAGATAATTTATGAGTGGGGTAGTCCAGCTCGGCGAAGAGGGATCTGTGCTAAGCAGTTGACACTCTACTGTGAAGTCGGTGTAGCTAGGAGCATCGAGTACCTCCACTATTGTTGACTTATGAGGGTTGGTCTCTTGCGATGAGGCTAACTTTGACAGTTCGTCAGCTCGTTGGTTATCTGCTCTGGGTATCTTGTCGATCTAAAAGGAAGCAAATCTTGACTTCAATTTGTTGACCACAGAGGTATAACGGCCAAGCTGGGGATCCCTAACTTCACAGCTACCATTTACCTGGCACACAACGAGCTGAGAATCACTAAAAATCCGAATGCTCTGTACCTTCAGCTCGGATGCCAGTTTCAAGCCATAGATGAGGGCTTCATATTCTGCAGCGTTGTTAGTTGTCTGAAACTTGAGTCTCAGTGCATGCTCGGATTTAAAGCCATCCGGCCCCACTAACACAGCCCCGGCCCCCGATTCTTCAACACTAGCAGCTCCATCTACATACAAAACCCAGACTGGGTATTCAGGTGCTTTTGCTTCCTCTGTCGTTGAGATGCATTCCACCAGAAAGTCGACAATGGCCTGGCCTTTTATGGTTGTGCGCGGCTGAAATTTGAGATTGTATTCACTCAGCTCGACGCTCCATCCAATAAGCCGACCAGAGAGTTCCAGTTTTTGTAGTATCTTTCTCAACGGCAGATCGGTATAGACAACAATCTGATGTGATTGGAAGTAGGCTCTCAACTTACGAGCTGTGTACACCAGGGCAAAAGCAGCCTTCTCTGCTAATGGGTAATTCTATTCAGCGCCCTGTAAAACTTTGCTCACATAGCAGATAAGCTTCTGATTCTTATTCTCTTCCTCAGTAGCACTGAACTCACCGCTTCTTCTGTGACCCCCAGATAAAGATATAAGCATTCCCCATCGACAGGCTTGGACAACAGGGGTGCGGATGCCAAATATTGTTTGAGCTCGTCAAACGCCTGTTGACATTCATCAGTCCACTGAAAGTTTTTAGGCTCCCGCAGAGCTTTGAAGAACGGAAGGCACCTTTCTGCCGACCTGGCTATAAACCTGTGCAATGCAGCTACACGACCTATCAGACGCTGTACATCTTTTACAGTCTTGGGAGGCTCCATCTGCTGAACGGCCTGGACCTTCTCTGGATTTACTTCGATTCCTTTCTTGGATACCATGTACCCCAGGAATTTCCCTGATTCCACAGCAAATGTGCATTTCAAGGGATTCAGCTTCATTTGGGCTCGGCGCAAGTTTTGAAAAGTTTCATCCAGGTCGTCTATGTGATCCTCAGCCCGCACGCTGGTGACTATCATGTCATCCACATATACTTCTATGTTTCTGCCGATCTGGAGCTTAAAGATGATTTGCACCAGCTTCTGGTATGTTGCTCCAGCATTTTTGAGGCCGAACGACATCATGACATAGCAGTAGATTGCGTCACCAGCGTAAAAAGCTGTCTTCTCCTAGTCGTCCAATAGCAACTGGACCTGGTGATAGCCCGAGCTGGCGTCAAGAAAACTCATCCGTTCATGCCCAGCTGCCCGCTCTACTAATTTTTCCACATTTGGCAAGGGATGAGGGTCTTTTAGACATGCCCCATTCAAGTTGGTGAAGTCAATGCACATCCTCCACTTGCCATTTGGTTTTTTCACGAGCACGGGATTGGACACCCACTCAGAGTATTCTACTCTCCTGATGAAGCCAGCCTGTAGCAGCTTTTGTATTTCGTCATCTATCGCAGCTTGCTTTTCAGGGCCAAAAAGTCGACGCTTTTGAACTACCGGCCTTTTAGCGGAGTCCGTGCTGAGCTTGTGGACTGTCAACTCTGCTGGATTGCCGGGCATTTCGTCCGTAGTCCACGCAAACACGTCCTGATTATTCCTCCGAAA